TGCGCGCAAGAACGGACGCCAGTGACTGTCTCTGGATGGACAGTCACTGGACAAGGGACAGTCGCATAGGATGTGGTGTAGCGTCTCTTCGCAATGACAAGCATCGCAGAGAGCGTTGTAGGTCATTCCTATGACAAAGGAATCAGATTTTGTAAATGCCACTCCTAGCCATAGGCGATGAAGAAGGGTGCCTTCTCTTCAGTCGAGCCCAGTGGGCGAAGGAGAGCCATCAAAGAGGACAGGTGGTGTTGATGATTCATCTTGTTGCTTGGTGGGCACCACAGTGAAAACGTGATTGCACGCGCAAGTTGTCGAAGATTACTGGCTGTATCGGTCCGCCAAAGTGGTATGGCTTCTTCTCGTGTTCTTTTGAGAGCTGCCCGCGCGGCAGTATCGGCATGTTCGTTCCCTATGATGCCGCAGTGACTTGGTAGCCACTGAAACGTCACATGATGCCCTTTCTTGTGTGAGGTGTGGAGAAGGCATCAAATTTTGAAAACAAGCTGTTCGTACGGACCGCGACGCAGTGTTGAGAGCACAGATTGTAGGCCATCATTTGAGTCGGTGAAAATCGACCATTGTGGCGGTGGTTCCCGATTGACCACAAAAAGTGCAGCGCACAAAGCAGCTAGTTCCGCTGCTGTAGATGCCGTGGAGTGGTCAGTCCTAAAGTTGATGGTAACACCTCTTGCTGGGACAACTACTGCACCTGACGAACACTGGTGGTTTGTGGAGCCATCGGTATATATATGTACACTCTTTGAATATTTCTCGTGCAAAAGAAGAAGAGACAGTTGCTTGAGCACGGGCGATGAAAGCTCAGATTTTCTCCGGAATCCTGGTACAATAAGATGCACTTTGGGTCAAATAAGACACCAAGGGTGTATCAATGGTTTAGATACAGGAGTGAAGCCCGAGGGAAGTTTTTCATTGTACTTCACAATAATTAGCGAACGATGCTTGGCGCCTCTCTGAAGGCAACAGTGCAAAGTGATGACAGGGAGCATGTGCGAAGTCTCTGATATGCGTTCTCAGGACTTCTACAACAATGTGATCTTGTATCGGATAGTCACCAGCAATGTCAGCTGTTGCCTCTGTTGACGTACATCTGGGCAGACCAAGGCACACACTCAGTGCTTGGGATCGTACTGCCAGAAGAACACGAACATTGGTCTAGCAGGTATTGCTAAGCAAGGGCAAACTATATCTCAGGAAACCAAGAAACAGGGTTCTGTAGAGTTCCATCATTGCGTCTACTGACATCCCCTACGTCTTTCCTGCGAGCAACTTGAACAATTGTGAAATAGTGGTCAGGCGCTTCTTCATATAGGGCACATGCGGACTTCAACAGAGGTTCCTATCAATAATGATGCTCAGAAACCGGTAGGCTCTGGCGTAACAAATCAGTCACCCACAGATTGAGATGACATAAGGGGTCATTGCTTTGTGAGTGAAGGCCACCAGCGCGCATTTTTCGGTGATATGATGAGGCCTTGTTTTAACAAGTTGGTAATCATAGTTGCTGCTCTTTGAAGCCGGGAACGTATCTGAGAACGTGTGACTGCCGACGTCCAGACACTGATGTTGTCTGCTTATATTGAGATTTTATTGGAACATGGCAAGTATTCAACAAGGCCAATTAGTGCAAGATTAAATGGCGTCGGGCTAAGAACTCCACCTTGAGGAACACCCCTGGAAGTATAGCGTCACGTAGTTGGGCCATGTTCTGTTAACACAAAGAATGATCTTACAGCCAGGTAACTCGAAATCCACCGAAAGACTCAACCACCAAGGCCAACCACCGCAAAAGCACCAAAAATGACGGGAAGTGTTTGACGACGTACATGACGGGACTGTGACATTATTTATGTCTTGACCAGAGCGTCATATTTGTCAAAACATCTTACCCTCCCATGCTAAGTTTGGTTCATGCCAAGTTATGGGGATGACCACGAGAGTACCCAAACGTAAGCAGATAGATAGATAGATAGATAGATAGATAGATAGATAGATAGATAGATAGATAGATAGATAGATAGATAGATAGATAGATAGATAGATAGATAGATAGATAGATAGATAGATAGATAGATAGATAGATAGATAGATAGATAGATAGATAGATGCGCTCAAAGTCGCTGAAGTTCGCAAAAAAATGCTTCGCATTTAAAAATCAGTCTTGAAGCTGGAATCGAAACCAGGGGTTATGCGTGGAAGGTAAGTATTGTACCAATGAGTCTTGTCAGATGACGAAACTGCTTTAGAAATAGACCCTATGCAGGCGTCGTATTAGAACAACCTCAGTCTTGGTTGCTGTGTTCGATATAAAACAATATAATGAACATGATATGTGTACTCCTGAAACTCTGATAGCATAAGCAATAATCGATGATTGCCCGACCCCGGAGCTATTCTGTCACGAATGATTTGTATGGTACACCAATGATTTCACCGTATCTTGTAGTTAGTTGCCACGAAACCAATACCTGTGCTGTAACGTTAAGCACTAGCATACTCTTCTTATAAGCGCCAGTGTAGTCGATGTGTCTCGTTAACCTATGATAAGTGCATAATTGCTACATATACACAAACACGTCAATCCACAATTTTAGGTAATACCATAAGATATGCAGCATAGACGGCTCTCGCTGACTGCTTCGCATAAAAATAATTCCTTCAATGCGTGGGATCCGTCCAAGTTTCTTTTTCGCCATCTTCTTCAGAGATCTCCGCTATGCACCACGGGGCTCAAGGGGCGCCGTATCGCCTGAGCACTCCAGAGAGCATCGGTGTGACCTGTCGAAGATGTCATCGCAACATTCACCCGTTCTAACTGGTTCTTGCGCTTTTCTGGCAAAAGGGAAGCTACAATTTCCCCCTGATTTTTTTCGAGACGACACTCCTGTTAATCACAACCTAATTGTAATCTTTCACGTTGTTCCCGATGAGAGTAACCTATCGAGATGAGTATATGACACGATCTCCACGTTAATTTTACACCGATATGAGCTTGTGACACAGAGGATCACATCGAGCACTATTTCTTCGTAAAGTTGTGGTTAGAAAAAGTGAGCAACAATTTTGAATACTAGGTACTCTACTATGCGAGAGCAAAAAGCCGTCCCGTGGGCCTCACACTTGGTGAGCCCTAAAATTGCGCGCTTTAAAGTGGTAGGTTGTATGCGAAAAACGCAGCGTTTGCTTGGCTACAACTTAATGTATAATCTTGCCCCAGGTGACTATGCGGATTCTATGGTCTTGCTTTGTTGACGTGACTTCCACTCTGGTCATTTTTTTTTTGAGGCCTGCTTGGTTCTAATTGGAGGTTCCCACATTGTGAACATATTTATTGTACGAAATTTGTGTATCACGGAGTGGTTAAGATAATTGTTGGCAATTTACTGATCCAGGGAGTTGCTGGCAAGAATAGGCATGCTCGTAATAGGTTGTCATTTGCACGCCGTATAAAATAACACCTCACCAATAAAATTTACTCGTATTAATGTAAGGTGCACGTACCGTGGCCATCAATTACGAAGACTTGCAGTCTGTAAGCAATCCACTCCAACTATGGTAAAGTGGCACGAAGTAGCGTGTTTTTTCTCACCACGCACTTTAGCGGCGATGGACGCCAGTGAAGATGGCGGCGCCCATGGCCGTGGCCGAAGACGTCGCAACCACCATCCGCTCTTGCGGTTTTATACTTCACACTGTTAATGACAATGGAGATACGTGCTACAGGGACGCTTGAAGAGAGAGAGAGAGATGAAATATTGGCAAAAACAACACTCATGAGTCAGCTTCATTCAAACCTGCATAGTCCTCGTGATCAAAAAGTGAGCGTCTTAACCACGCGGCTAATTAGACACGCTGATTTAAGATAACATGGTTTTGATAGTACGCGCAGCAAGAAGGCGAAATTGGGGAAGTGGTAATGAGGAGGACATATCTGAGGGGGAAGAGCAGTGAAAAAAGGACGAGAGAGAGTTAAGCCTGGCAAATGAAGAGTGAGAAAGTGTGAAACAAAAAAATGAATGCAAAATGTGAAATGAAGAAAGAGAGAGAATTGAATAACGAGTGTCGAAGAAATAAAGTATTAGGTATACAGAGAAACAATAGAAAGAAACTAAGCAAGCGGAAGCAAGGGAGAAATTCGGAGATAAGAAAAGTGGTTGAAATAAGTAGAAGTAAAAAGAAACAGAAATAAAAACTATATAAATCGTTACAGAAAAGACAGACAGAAAACACAAAAGAAAAGGAGAATTAAACAGGCCACACAACTATATTCACAAATATACTAAAATAGGTTACCTAACGAGCGTCAACAGGCCGTACCTTGCTGTGCCAATTTTCAGTGTATATTTTCACTCATTGCAAGATTTCCGCATATTCTTTTATTTTAATCCATTAGCTGTTGTTTTTTCCATGTGTTTCGTAATGGAAGAAACTACCAAAAAACTGCCTAAAAATTGAGTGAGACGGAATTTATGTCGCTTATTACTCTAGCGTCCATAATGCAGTACACTGAATAGTGTGAGTATTATAATAAACAGTGTTCACTTTGAACAAGCTTTCCAACTTGAATATTTTGTTGGATTTAGGACTAACCAGACCCAAGAAAAAAAATGCACTACTGATGTAATTACGTTTTGATCAAAAGCTCTATTTATTGCCTGCACAAAACTTTAAGTCGAGACGTGATGCTTCCTGACGTTTCACTGATACGTTTGTGATGTTCTCAGGTAAATCATCTGCTTGGACAACTTGTACCACCTGGATATATTAACTTAACGGCATTTGTGACAACTACACCAGTGAGTATAATAGCTACAAAAGTTTTTTCACCTAATCAAATAATTGTTATAGGATCAAGAATCGTATTACATGAACAAATGGGCAGACGGAAAACTTCGAAGTGAAACAACACTACGGTTGTTCATAAAATACATATACATGTATACACAACTCTGGCACGCCGATTTCATGCTGTATTTCACAGGGTAAGACATTCATTTCACTACTCCTGGTACTGAAAACAGTCCTCTGCACAGCTGTGTTCATATTCTTACAAAACTATATTAGAGCATCCCATGACGTTCCCTATCTTGATTGACTTAGCGATATGTTTAATTTCGACAACTCAAGGTACCAATACAATTTTTTTCTCTAGCAATTTAAAAATTAAGCATTGTAGGCTACGACTCCGGAATATAAAGAAGAAAGTTTTCTATTCTTTGATATATAGCTTAAGTATAGCAGGCCAGCTATAATAGTTATTACAACAGTGGCTTTGTGTTTATGCAACAAGAGGTCATCGCATTGCAAGCGCATTGAGGCGACTTATGAGTTGTGGAATGTAGAATACATTTGAGTACAAACTTAAGCTGATTTAGGAACGATAGCAATGCTGATATGTGAGTAGATAGTAATGTAGGTCGGCAACAAAAGCTGCCACTTAGCCAAGCTCACTCTGAAAAATATAGCTGGTCTCTTCGTCACAGAAATCTGTTTAACACCAAAAATTGAAAGTGTCTTCACAGTGGTAGTGCTTGTTGTGTAGTCATTATGACAGCTTGTAATGTGTATAAGGACGTTTGAGAGATATATATAGAACCGTTTCACGGGAATGCAGCCACATTGATACTTGGTTGGAAATCTACTTCAGGACGACTAACGCACACGATATTGTTTAGTCGTTGTGGTAGCAAAACTTTTAACACATACCTGGACACAGCGCACCGTGATTCCTGCACTAAGAAGACATCAACAAGCACACAAAAACCATTGGTATTTGATATGCACTTCTTCAAAGCATCGGGATTTGAAGGAGCGCTAAAGTGAAACAATGATTGGGTTTAGATTGATAAACTGTGCTTTCAGAACTCTAATGCCGTTAACTTCACCATCATAAGCTTTTTAGAGGAGAAAACCTAGCTTAAAGCTACATTTCAATATGTCCGCATGACGTCATTCTGAAGTGTGCTTGTCTTATTTTGTCGACATTGGCTCAACGAGATTGCCTGAAGTTTCGTATTTTATGTCTATGGGCCTCCCGAGGTCCACGTCCAGTCGGCCAAATCTTAAGCTATTGTGCATGAGTGGCAGTGTTTTTGGTGTATCCTTGTCATACGACTAAATTAAGTTTAAGTATAATAAAGGTCAAGTGTGTGCCCACAAAACACATGTCCACAAAACAATTCTTTTTAAGTTCGTTCCATAATACGGTACTGAAAAATATGGCGCTGTGCACACTAGCTAAAGTTTTGGCCAAATGTGCTTCGCTTGTAGCATTTAGGAGCTACATAGGACGTATTGTATGAAGTCGAAATCAATGACATCACGTCATTTAGGGCTGGAGTGTCAACATCAAGTCTACATCTGTTTTTTTGTTTTTTGTTTTTTTTTGTCGCGTGTTTCCTCCACTCCTAGACATCTGGATGCAAGCGTTGCGATTTCGGGATTGTGACAGAGTAATTTACTAATAGAAGAAAATTCGTTAATTTTTAATTTAGTGTCCCTTCAAAGAGAAAAACTTCATGGTGCGTGCGCCAGAGTTTTGCGATAACCTACGCTGTGTGCTCGTGCATACTCACTACCACACTGCACTTGAGCAACACCGGCTGCATTTTCGATGGAGGCGGAAACGTTGTAGGCCCGTTCGCTCAGATTTGGGTGCACGTTAAAGAACCCCAGGTGGTTGAAACTTCCGGAGCCCTCCACTACGACGTCTCTCATAACCATATGGTAGTTTTGGGACGTTAAACCCCATAAATCAATCAAATCAATCAACTAGAGCAACACGGAAAGCAGCACGGAAGTTTGTAGCTTGAGTCACGAACCCGCGCTGGCGTTCTGCGTCCCACAGGTCTGTGTGTCGCTCCACCAAGGCACAGCGCAACGTTCACGCAGCGATAAGTTTGGCTTTTTTCTGCAGCGCTTACTGCAGTAGTTTCATTCGTCGGTGCTATCCCGCGCGAAGCGGTCGGCAATGAACCACGATTGGTGCATGTGGAAGCTGCATTACTCGACAAACGAGTCATCACACGCTAGCACGAAGCGAAAAGAACACAGTTGCACCCAGCGTGGCCATCATTTTCCTCTCCTATCAAAACGCTTTATTCGTGGCCTCCGAGATTGCGTGCTGGTGGCTGATATCGGACGCAGTGCTTTAACTGCGTCGTCCATTATTCATGCTGTCACCCGCACTTCTCGGAGTGCGGAGCCCGCACTTCTCTCCGCACCGCGGCGCTCTTTCTCTCCGTCAAAAAGGCTGCCGCGTTGTTGGCGAAGCTTCTATGTGGCGAGAAAAAAAATGGTTTTGCGCCTCTGTATAGCTTTGTGTTCGTTTGTAAATGTCGGGTCAAGGAGGGGAAAGGCAAAGTCAATGCTGGGCATTTTATTTTTGAATGGGGTTTTAATTTTGCTGTAGATTGGCGCCACCCATATTAGAGCAACTAAAACTGCAATGCCTCTTCAAGAGATCTGCATGTGCCCGAAACTATACTTCGAAGTTCGCGGGCTGTATAGAAGGGGGGGGGGGAGGCGCCAGTGAAAAGGAAGGAAAATGGCAGCCCTATCCGCAAGCGAGGTTAGACGACTGTAGCGTTCTACGTTCATGGATTACTTTTTACGCTCGATTGGATGGATTCTTCTTGATCTCATCGAACTAGCGCTGCTTTTCATTGTAACGCTGTTTATAGAGTTCTTGCAGAGACGCCCTAATGTGATCACAGCTGCTCCATGACGTGGTTTAATCGCTTCTTAGAAGCATTCTTCGCTTCTTAGGCAAACACGCCGGCCGTCCAACAGTGCTCTCCACAACTGGTCTTCCCGATATATGAGACAAGTTGAGTGGGGCTTGTCAACGACAAGCAAAACGCTGTACGCTGCACGAGAGATAAATAAACAAAATTACAGCATATGGTCGCAGTGAATGATTAGTCGGGTGAAGCGTCCATTCATTCATCCATCCATCTGTACATTCGCTCGTTGATGCGTCTGTCGACTACTATCACACTACAGCACACATCAGATGGACGGACGCTTCGCCCCACTTATCATATTATTCACTCCGTGAATATTCTGGCTACGCTAGATAGATCGACGAACGACCAAGTGATTCTATAAAAAGCTTCGTTCCTAAAAGCAATAAACCCACGTCACGCTACGCATCACAGCTGTGATTATGACAGCATGCCGGTAATAATTCTCTTAACAGCGTCCAACTTAAGTCGGGGGTAGTTCCACAAAAGCACCAAGAAAGTGGCCTATTTATTTGTGTGTAACCAATGAGCGCAAAATGCGGAATTCCGATTTCACCTGTGGATCGGGCTATCTGTGTTTGGAGCGTTATCTGTATGTGGAGCGTTTTATATACGCACCTTCTCGCAAATCAGGCGTTGGTGGCGCCGTTGATGCCGCCACTGCGCATGCTGCCTTCTTGTATCCAAGTTTTTTTTCCTATCTAATGTGCAGAACGGCACGCATCAGTATTATTCCAGGAACGTGAACCGCAAACACGCTGCCCTACATTTTGATTTTACCCTTCCCCTACGGTACAAAGGCGAGCGTCTCCGACGGCCGCCCCCTGCGAACACAGCAATGCTCTCACAGTTGCCTTCCAGCAGCCATGATGTCACGTGACAGAGCGGTATGGTAATGTCACGTGACTGAGCGGTACGGAGGCGAGTGGTCTCACACGGCGGCTGGTCGCGCCACAAGGCAGAAGGCATGGCTTCCGAGATTACGTGCTGGCAGGAGGCTGCCAATTGAAAAGAGAGCGACGTTCCAGGCATAGTTTTTCTAGGAGGCGTTGGTATGACATATTCCTGAAGTTAACGGAAGAAACAAGACCTGACGTCACTTTCTCTAACAAAAAAAAACCACAGCATTGACAAAGCATCAATTTAGAAACCGTAACCATTCCGCAACCTGATAAACAAATCGATACATTTGTATCAAACATTTATTATGACTTCCACTCCAATATTTTTTCTCCTTTATGCAGAACGTCAGTGACGCATGCAGGCAAGGTAACCACTCGATAGCCGCAGCATGAGCGCATTACAAAGAAATAACACCCACTCAAGAGGAACAGCCGCTGAGCCGCTGAGCCGACCAAACTCTGTGCTCAGCATCTGTAAGGCCTCGTTCAAACTGAGCATTCCGGTCGCCGAAAGTGCTCCGAATCCAGTTCGGCGGCGGCGAGATCCGCCGAAAGGGCCCTCTCTGCGCCGATCACTCTCAGACCAATTTTTGCGGCGTCTGCCGCCGAATCGGTCACCGCGGACCAATAGGAGCGCTAGTCAAAGAATTTTGAAAAATGGCGGCCAAGCCCTACTCACTTGTTATGCCGCAGTGCACGCAACTGAATGTTGAAACCAACGGGAGTTTAACCTACTCTGTGCCTACTTCGCCTTCGTATTTCGTGAAAGAGGTGACCGAGCTTGCTGTTGGCGTGACCGAGCTTGTTGCGGTCTTGCAGAGCAAAACAAACCCACCAACGCCGCTGGCGTCGGTGGTTTTTCTGCTCTCCGTGCATTACAAGACAGCCACTTGGCAGCAAAGTAAGCAGTACTGTCTTTTCTTGCTTCTTGCGTACGAGAATTGTCGAAGTATACACCACCGGATAGCGTAGTAGCCTTTGCGAGCCGCGACAACAACCGGGTGACAGCGCATCCATCCCGCGTTCGCCCCGTAGTAGATGACATATTCGGCGGCGCGGGACGCGTCCAGTGCGAACGACGCTGCGTTTCGGTGGCAGGGGAATTTTGGTCACTGTAGAAAGCGGATGTTTCAGTGTGAACTAGGCATAACTGTCTTGTTCTCTCCTCTCATGGTGCCGACGCCGTCAAGTCTGGCGAAAAAGCCGCGCTCCCCGAGCGTACAACGATTCACATTCGCCCGTGAGGCTTCTCTATATTTTCTTTCCAACTGTCACCGCAGAAGCGGGAGACAGGGAGGAAGTCTAGACTATGTCTAGACTGAACGTCACCGACTC